AGTGTGGTAGTTCCCCTTTCTTTGATTGTAAAGAAAGATTGTTTTAAAATCTTCAGATAAGTGAAGTGAGCAGAACCAGGAGAACATTGTACACAGTAACAGCAACATCGTGCAATGATCAACTATGAATAACTTAGCCCTTCTCAGCAGTACAATGATACAAGATACTTCCAAAGGACTAATGATGGAAAATGCTACCCACATCCAGAGAAATAACTGGTGGAGTCTGAATGCAGATAGAAGCGTGCTATTTTCATTTTCCTTATTTTTTGTGGTTTTTTCCTTTTAGACTGGTTCTTCTTTCACAACATGACTAACACAGAAATATGTTTTACAAGATTGCACATGTATAGCCTATTTAAAATTCTTACCTTTTTAGGGAGTGGGGGAGAAAATTTGGAACTCAAAATTCATTAAAAAAATGTTAAAATTGTCTTTACATGTTAATTGGAAAAAAAGCAAAAATGCTATTTTAAAAAATTAAAGTGTTTAGATAAAAAAAATCTTTGCTGATTTTTTCATTTGTCTTCCATTTGTTGTCCTTCCATTTTCATCCTTAAATGTTATAGTCATGACTTTGCTTGGTGGGGACTTATGATAGTGGTAACATATGCTGTTCCTGTCACATAAGTTAAGCTAGTTCTTCCACAAAAAATATAGCAAAACTGTTGAGACACTGACATAGCTTACTGGTGGCCCAAGTATAAAAGCAAGCCCAGACAGAAACTCTTCCTTCAAGGTCCATTTCCACACTGGCATGCCCAACACAATGGCAGGAAAGTTGTGATCAATTAAATCAATACAATAGCCTTAATGAATAATCTTTCATTGCTGTGGTTTCATAACCTATTTTTCTTAACTGCTGGATGGTTTCTGAGTGTCTCACTTTATTCCAATTCTGAACCTGAAATACAGGAATGTACTGAATCAAGGTGGGCCTGTAACATTTTAAATATAGTTAAAAGGACTGAATCAAAATAACCTTTTTGAAGTGTTAGATAAAGGCTATTAGGAGGAAGCTGAGTCCCTGATTACTGGAGAAGGTACTGACAAGGAAGGCAGGAAACCTAAAGCCTCATCAGTTTTGACAATGCTGGCAGTAAACCATAAGGTTATCTGTGAGTGACCGGGGAGGATTAGAAAATAAACTTTGTGGGCATTTAACAACTACCGATATATGTGAACATTCTTTGGGTATTTAAGAAACATGCCCTGAAAATGTTATAGTAGTAATAAGGAATTTCAATTATCTAAACATCTGCTGGAGCTGTCTGTCTCTCTATCTTTCCTGACCTCTACCCTTAGCCTAAAAGCAGAGCAGTTAATAACTTCTTTATTTGCCTTAGTGGTAGTTTCATATTTCAAAAGGTAGAGGAAACAAGTTCTATTGAAGATCTTATTCTCACCAACAGGAGAAGAACTGGGGAGAAAATTATGGGAACTTTAGGAATATGTGACTACTCCATCCAATAATTTATAGTAAAAAATGAGAGGGTAACTAGTTTAGTTTCTTTGCACCCTAGATTTTGGGAAAGCAGATTTCAATGGGTTCAGAGGAAAGATAGGTAGGATATCATGGACTACAACAATTCAGGTAAAATTAGCTCAGGAGGGATAGGATATGCTCAAGAATGAAATACTAAAGACCCAAAGGGAAACAATTCCAATGAGGAAGAAAAATGAGATTTTTCTGAAGAAACCAGTGTGGATACATAGGGAACTCACCAATCAACTTAGAGTTCAATCATTTTCAATCACGTCCAACTCTTTCGGACCCCATTTGGGGTTTTCTTGGCAAAGATAATGGAGTAGTTTGCCATTTCCTTTCCCAGATGAGAAAACTGAGGCAACCAGGCTTAAGTGGCTTGTCCAGGGTCACATAGCTAGTAAGTATCTGAGGCCAGATATGAACTCACGAAGATGAGTCTTCCTGACTCCAGGCCCAACACTCTATCCACTGCACCACCTAGCTGCCCTTAATCACCTTCTTTGATCATTTTCTTTAAAATATCAAGCTATTTAGCTGCCGTATCCTCATCTGCAATGGCCCCCTCTCTAATAATTTTAACATTATACAATTGAACTCAATTTTTAAAGCAACTGAACCAAAGCTTGCAGTAAATTTCTTCACTCTTAGCTTCATTTCCATTTTCTTTCACTGCCTCAAATATTATAAACTTGAAGCTTTTGTCTGAAGAGCAAGTTGGCTAAGAGAAATACGTTTTTGATTGTAATCTTCAAACTGTACGATTAAAAGGTGCTCCATTGCTCTCATCATGCTATTTTTGTTTCTGTGGTTGTTTGCAAACATTTTGCAAAAAGTTTTTCATTTTGCTGTGTTTTATACAATATTCTGTATCACAGATTAAAGTGTTCCAACATCTTGTCCTATTTTAGATTTACTGTTATCACATTTGTGACATTCATTACATCAATTTTTTTCTAATGTATTAACAAGCCTCTTCCTTTTGACCATCACAGAACACATAGTTTATAAGCAAGAACCCTGTGAGGTGCTGAATACCAGACTACTCTAGATCCTCTCAGCCCCTGCCATTGTGGAACCTATCCCAGTGCCAGATACCAAATTGGCTGGCCTCTAGTAAAAGGAGAGGGACCCTCTTGATAAATGGATGATGGACCTCAATAACCATTACAGCAAGATAGCATCTAGATAAACACATCTAGATAAACAACCCCCTTGTAGCAGGCAACACGTCCGCTACTAAGACAGGATGATTAGGGAAAACTCAGCTCCCCTATTAGAATGAGTTAGTGTTCATTATTATGATTTATCTACAAGAGATTTCCCTCCCAGACCCTTCCTCCCAACTGACTACTCATACTGAGGCAAATAGGGTAGTGAGGCAATTGATAGTAGCCCCTTGATTATATGACAGTGAGTGCAATGCTAACATGCCAGATAATATGTACTTGACCTACTGTGGCCCTCCTGTTGAAAGTGGGTAACTTATAGGGAATGTTATATGTAACTTACCCTTTCCAGTTCTGAGAGGGGAACTTAACCCCGGCCCCAAACAGGTTTTGTCCTTTGGCTGGGTGGGGGGAGGCAGAAACAAGGATAGACTCAATCACAGAGAAAGGTAAAACTATGTATGCTACTGTCCATCGGGTAAATGGGTCATACTGCCAAGAGAAGGGCTTTAGGCAGAGGGTCCATCCTGGTAGACCATGTTCCTCTGGCTTTTAGACCTTGGAGATAAGAGGGAAGAGACAGAGAGAACTCACACCTGCACTGGGATGCAGAAAAGTCCCCAGGCGGAAACCTCAATAGGATCTTGTTACGAGAATTAAGAGCAATTACATAGGCACGTGATCAGAATGAGGATCTGTGAGAGATAGAGCAGGAAGGCCTTTCACTTAGGGAATCATCACATCATCTGGAGGCCAGATGTCTGACAATGCCTGTCTCCACTTTGACCTAACTCTATTTCAAAGATACCAAGGTGGACTAGGAGTAGTGTCACAAAGCTGTTTGGCCTCACTTAGCCCTGTCACTATAATGGGCTCTCATGAGGGGAACTCAGTTCATGGACACTGGCATGGACATTTCTGGACACTGGCACCCAAGTGACTATAATCCTGGGAAGCCCCAACAGCCAGAATGCCTCATTCTTTTTAATGATTTTGTTCAGACATGAATCCTTAACCTGGATAACCAATTGATTGTTACTATCAGTGTGGGACTATTCTTGTGGTAAACTGTGAACCCCTTCTGCAATGAGGAGTATACATATGAACTGATCTCCTGCATTGCTTTACTAACAACAGCAAAGCATTGGAAATAGCTCCTCACCAAACGACTACTGATGGATGTTCATTATATTTGATAATGTCTTCAGCTTTGGCCTGTCTTACCTTTTGACTTCTCATCAAGTAGTGCAAGTGAAGCAATATAATATACCTGGAGGTGAGAGTAAGATTACTCACCTTCATCCAGGACCTCCTGGATGCAGGGCTGCTGTAGCTGACCACCTGCCTGTTAAATAGTCCTGTCTGGCCAGTACACAAAGCCAATGGCATCGCGAGCTTGACAACTGACTTGGGCCTTCAACAAAGAGGTCCCACCTCTTGTTTCAGTGGTCCTAAAGATAGTTACCATCATGGACCTACTTCCCTACTTCCAGACACTGGTATGTTGTTCATCTAGCTCGATGAGCCTTGGCTTATACTTGGCAAGGTATGCAGTATACCTTAGCTGTCCTTCCTTATGGCTAACTTATATTCCCACAATCTGCTTCCAATGGATGGGTTGTACACTGGCCTCTTTGATTGTGCCCCTGGAATGGCCATCTTCTATTACCCTGGTAACATCCTGATTAGGCTGAGTAAGTACACTGTCTAAGGTTCTGGAGGCCTTGTTTACTGCTCATTGATGAAGGCTGGGCTACCAACATTGACAATATTCAGCAGCCCACTGAACAAATCAAGTTCCTGGGGGTTCAGTGGGCTGGGGACCAGTGGGAAAACCCCACCAAAACGAAAGAGACCCCTTGCACCGAAGCCAAATACTACTAAGAAGGATGTCCAACCTATCATCAGGCTTTTGGCTTCTGGACACAAAACATACCCCATCTGGGCATCATCATGAGGCAATCCACACAATTTGGGTGGGGCCCAGCCGACAAAGGCAGGATCACCATCAATTTTCCAGCACTTAGAGCGCTGGCACACAGTAGGCACTTAATAAATGTCTACTGACTAACTCATCTGTAAAATGAGGGGGTTGGCCTAAATCGAGGATTCTTAGTCTTTTCCAAGCCATGGGCCCCTTTGGCATCATGGTGAAAGGTTATGGGTCCTTTCTCAGAATAACGTTTTTAAATGCTTAAAGTAAAATACAAAAGATTGCAAAGAAAACCAATTATCCTGAAATGCAACCATTTGACAATTCTTAAATATTTTTCGTTTCAAATATAACTTGCTAATTATATTTGATACTAAAATAGAAATCGTAAAATATTTTTAAATCCACTCACTATATACCGGACGTTGGCTGCTGGTGGGGAAAGCTGTGACCGAAGCATATTGTGCATCTCCACACACTCCTGGATAAATTCGCCATCTTCGATATCCGGAAAGTGCGCCTGTGATGCTTGACTCTGAGGATCAGGACCAAGAAAAAGCTGCGCCACAGGCTCACGGCTTCCATGACTTCACCTTGGCCACTGTGCCTCACGCCTCAGGTACCTGGCACGCGCTGCAAGCCTGCGCCTGTCCAGAGCTTCCGAGGCTTTGATTGGAGAATTCTCTTCCGCCTGCCCCCTCTGTCCCGCCCCTTCCAAGAGCTCCCGAGGCTTTGATTGGAGAATTCTCTCCTGCCTGTCTTCCTCTGTCCCGCCCCTCCCCCGCAACAGCTCCCGAGGCTTTGATTGGAGAATTCTCTCCTGCCTCCCCCACTCTGTCCCGCCCCTTCCCAGAGTTCCCAGGCTTTGATTGGAGGGCACCTCACCTACAAGGACAGTTCCCAAAATTTTGATTGGAAGGATCCCTCGCTGCAACGCACACCCCGCCCTCAGGCTTTTCTAGGCCAACCCGGGTCAGAACTCCCAGACTCTGATTTGTCAGGATACTTTCGACCCGCAGTCTGTCCTTCCACTCTGCCTTGCACCTGCCCAATGCTCCCCATGCTTTGAATGGCAGGAATTTTACCTACATGACCCTACTTAACTGAAGAAGGAGATTACAAACTTCTTGAAGGAAACATTCTAGCGCAAGGATTCTTAACCTGGGATCCATAAACTTTTTTTTTTTAATAATTGTATTTCAAGATAATTAGGCTCCATTATAATTGTATGGGATTTCATTTTATGTATTTAAAACATTATTCTGAGAAGAAGTCCACAGTTTTCACCAGATTGACAGTGGGGTCCAGGACCCATATACAAAATGTTAAGAATCCTTATCTGTAATTCACAGCCCCACATTCAATCCTTTAGAACCCACATTCTTTCCAGTTTGGATCCTTACAATCTGAAGTTCCAGACTCTTCGTAGAACTACTTTATTTTTTATTTTTATTTATTTATTGGCTTTTATGTGTTACTTCAGTCCCCAAACCCATGGGTAAGGTTTATTTTTGTTTTTTCCTTTTTTGTAGAGACTGGCCTGTGTGAAGGGCAGGAGAAAGAAGAGCTCTTTAGTTCTCATTAAGTTTTAAATCTTTTCAGAATTTTTCAAGACAATTTGGGTGCTTCTAACTTTCAGCTTTCAAAGTGAAATGTTAAAAGCCAATCCCACTTCAGATTGCTGAAGGAAAAGACTCTAGAAAGACATGGGAGGAGTTGGTATTTTCCATCAGGTCCCTTGTCTTCAGCTTGCTACACTAGAGACTTTAGGGAATTAACTCTTAGATGAGAAGCTGAGTTACCTTGCTCAGAAGTGGAGAGCTCTAGGGATAGCTAGGTGATGCAGTGGTTTATGCATCTGCCTGGGAATCAGGAGGACCTGAGCTCAAATGTGATCTCGGATGCTTGACCCTCACTAGCTGTGTGACACTGGGCAGGTCATTTAACCCCTACTGCTTTGCAATAAATAAATAAATAGGTAGATAGATAAATAAATGAATGAATGAATGAACAAAAACACAAACAAATAAACGAATGAGTAAACAAACAAACAAATAAATAAATTTGGAGAGCTCCTTCATTCTGTGTTGTCTGGTTTGTATTCTCCTATGTATACTTTCTCTGATTTGTGTTTTGCTCTGATTTGGATAAATGGACATCTTTGATAATTGCTATGTGTGGAATTGCTATTCTGTGGGAAAGGAGTCAAGCCTTGAATATGGAGGGATCTTCTTCCCAAATAAGGGTCATCATAAGTTAGCCTGAAACTCAAAACCACATGTTCTAGACTAAGAAAATTTAAGGGAACAAATAGATATAATTCTAACCTAGCAGAATGGCAGCCTCTGGCCCCAGCTTTGAGCTTCCCCTCCTAATCTGAATTAAAGTCTTCCTTGGAGAAAGGAAGGAAAGAAGAGACTAGAAATGTCTATTGTGCCTCCCTTCAAGCCACCCAAGAACACCTATATGCCATATGTGGGGGCTTGCCATTGACACATGTAACATGGGGTTCAAGCTCATTTACATAAGATTCCCCTCACTGGTAGAAAATGTTTGGTGGAGAGAACTCAGGACAGGTGAGATTCCCTTTCTTCTGGTTTCCAACTCTTCAGGGAAAGATTCCTAAAGGGAGAGAAACTCTCTGATAAATCCAACATTTGGCAGAACCAGTGCCTCAAATATGTACTCTTTCAATTGTTCAGTCATTACAGTCATGTCCAACTCTTCATGATCTCATTTGGGGCATGGTTTGCTATTTCCTTCTCTAGTGTCCTTGTTTCTACTTCCCCACAACAGAGACTAGTGGAATTTCCCCTTAAATGAGAACTGGGACTCTCTCTTCTAATTGAGCTATCTTACTTCCAGTAGGAGATCTCATCCACTCTTTATATTTTCTGCCTTATTCCAATCTCCATAGCTTTTCTGATATGTTTCCTCCAGGCTTGGATAAATAAATGTGTTTATTGGCTATTTATTGTGTGTTTTGTTTTAGTTTTTTTGTTTGTTTTTGTTTTTTGTAACTAGCATTTAATGGGAAGATAATGCAGCTTTGAATATATAGCTCGGAGCACTTCTTCCCTGGGTGATCAGGAGAGTAGCTTGAACCTAAATAATATTTCCCTTAGATTAATAATATTTGGGTATATATATATATTATATATATATATATATATATATATATATATACACATGATATATATATAATATATATATGTACATGCACATATATATGTATTTAGGTATATAAATATATGTGTGTGTGCATATATATATGTATATATATGTATATATATATATATATATGTTATATACAGAGAGACAGACAGACAGACAGAAAGACAGAGAGAGCCTGGTACTCTTTCTCTGAAGACAGCAAAGTGGCCAGCCTCATGGCCTCAACTTCCTGCTCCCCTCATGGCAAGAATCAAAATCTCCCTTGGAGAAGGATGGGCAGAGGACACTCTAGACACAATTATTCATCCCTCCCTGTGAGCCATATCTAGACAGACCCATGTGGAACCACATAAACTATACGGGTAATTTTTCCCAGTATCTTTTGCCCTCCCCCCTCATAGAATCATCACGTATAATAAATAAAATATAAATAATATATTTTCAAAGAAAAAAAGGAGAAATAGAAAAACCAGCAAAACCAATCAATATGTGAAAAAAAGCCTGAAAATATATATATAATATTCTGTACACATAGACTTCTTATCTCCACGAAGAAGTGATAAGAGGATCTCTTTACATCTCTTTACAACAAGTAGTTGCTCTTTCCATTTTCATTGTTGCAATCATTGTGTGTATTGCTTTTCCATGTTCATTATATTCATAACGTTATGAATGAAAGTTAACAAAAGTGTAAACTGAGGCAATTTCTCTGAGCAAGATAACATTTTATTATCAGGGCTGGTAATCTGAGAAGATGAGTCAATGGCTGCCTCAGTTCCAACCAAAAACCCAGAGCAAAAGTATAGCTCCCCTTTTTATAGGTCTGGGGGAGTACAGAAGAAAGAACGGAATGGGGTAGGTGACATCATGGGGTTGAGGGCAACACGATTGAGGCACAGGGCACAATATGATCGGGTGGAAGTTGGGAACAAGAGGATAGCAACAACTCCCACCTCTCCCTCCAGTGACTAAGAAGTGTTCATTGTCTGAGTCCACCTATAAGGCCAAAAATAAGGCCCTAGTCTTCTTTGGATGGAAAATAAGATGTTCTTGAAGGATAGCATGGTGATGTAAAGATAGTAGGCCTGACTTCATCATGGCAAGCCAGGTCCTTCAAGGTTAGCAGAATTAATTGAGGCAAGAATAGAACAGTGATTAAAAAGAAAGCAGGATTTCTAAACTTAACCTAGGCCAGCTGAAATCTGAACGAAGTTCAGAGAGAGGGAAAACCATGACTTTAGGCAGTTAGAGGACAAAATCAATTAAGTGTAAATAAGATCAATAAGAAAATGATAAAGGATCAGTTTTAATCTTCTCAGGGGTTTCTTACAGCAGATAATACTCAGTTACATTCATTTATCACAATTTATTTAGCCAATCTCCAACTGAAGGGCGTCACTTTGCTTCTAATTCTTTGCTGCCTCAAAAACTACTGCTAGCTACAGGAATTGGGAAGGCTCTTTCTGGAGGGATTTCTTTAGACAGAAGCAGCAAAGTGACACAGTGGATATATGCAGATGTACATAGTACATGGGACTTGGAGTCAGGAAGACCTGAGCTTAAATCCTGCCTCAGACACTTACTAGCTGTGTGACCCTGAACAAGTAGCTTCTCTATGTCTCATTTTCCTCATCCGTAAAAAGGAGATAGTAGCAGCACCTAATTTGCAGGTTTGTTGTGAGGATCAAATAAGTTAATATTTGTAAAGTACATTGAAAAACTTAAAGCACTACATAAAAATTATCTTTTATTATTGTTGCTGTTATTATCTGGTGTCTGGCTGACCCTGTCTTTACCATAATTTTCACTTTTGTGATAACTAGAAGTAGGCAGTGACCAGGCATATATACCACACACCTATCTCTAAGAGGAATATTAGGTTAGAATTCTATCTACTCCACATCATCTATTTGAAGTCTAGGGGCACAGTGATTTTTCTTTTCTTTTCTCTTTCCTTCTTTTCTTTTGTTTTCCATTTTTGCTTCAAGATGAAAACTACTTTCCCTGTTCATTCTAAAAGTGAGGAAAGTAATAAGTTTATTCCTGGAAGTTTAGCTTCCTTCCAATCAAACACTTACTACAAAAGAAAATCAGGATAGAGGGAATATATATTTATCAAAGCAAATAGTAAAACCTTAATCAGGAAAAGTATACAGGGTATATAGGCAATAGAATACACAAGAGGAGTGGACTCTGTAACTTAAGAGTGAGAATTCAGTTTAACCAAGGAAAGAACACAGCAGAGGAGGGAATTATAGAGGAACAGAGAGACTAGCATATCGCCTATAGGCTAAAAAAACAAAAACCAAGCTAATTTTTGTAACACAGAATGGCTAAAGCAATGCCCCCCTCCCCCACCTCTCCTCTCCTTCCCCCAGAGACAAAGAGAATACAGAGGATAGGACAGTGACAAGTATTGGCTGGGCCAACTGCACCCTCTTAGTGACACTCACACAATCACCAGTATTACAGCCATTTAAAAG